GAAGGAAGGAAGGAAGGAAGGTAGGTCATTCAGCACCCCTGAACATCTACCTTTCCCTTAAGTGACCAAACAGAAAGGCCCCCTTAGCACCAGAGGCTCCCACAGCCTCTCCACATGCTTCCAGCACCACAGGGAGAAGATACACTCTTTCTTCGAGTAGAAACAGAGATAGCAAAAAGAAAGCAAGATGGCAGCTTTCAACAACACTGCTGGTGGTTCCATGAAATCTAATACTCCAATCAAAGGCAGAGATTGCCAAACTGGTTAAAGAGCTAAGCCTCTAGTAAGCCACCAACAAGAAATTCACTCTAAGAACAAATATGACAAGGTCCTGGGATATGGCGCAAATGGTGAAGCAAGTGTTAAGTACGCGTGAGACCCTGAGTCTGGTACCTGAAACAACATGATCCACCATGTTTCATCAGGAGCGGCCCTGGGCCCCAGTACCACTGTTCCCACACACTGAACCATCCTGCCCACACAGGCGCGGCAACACTGGGAATGCCTCGGGGGCCCCTGGAGCTCTACTGGAAGTGAGGATGACAAATGTGAAACCCATCTGAGCACTGCTACCAAGTCTGCGTCACAAGCGAGTGCTTGCAGCCCATAGTCATTGAGACACAACAACAGAGGGAAGAAAAGGGAATAAAGAGATCAATCAAAATAAGTAAACTAAGGAGAGATAATTCAGTGGGAAGGGCATTTGCTTTACATGCAGCTGACGCAGGTTCAATCCCCAGCACACTGGGCCCTACCAGGAGTGATCCTGGAGCACAGACAGAGCTGTAAGAGAGAAAGAAGGAAGAGAATGAGGAGGAAGAGAAAGAGGAGGAAGAAGATGATAACAACACTTAGGGCATGGTTTGTGTGACCCTCAGTTGCAACACCAGAAAAAAAAATTAGTTCCAAATTAAAATAAAGAAATCAGAGAGCTAGTACAGGGATGAAGTCACTTGTCTTGCATACGGCTGACCCCAGTTCAATCCCCAAACACTGCCAGAAGTTACCGCTGAGCACAGAGACAACAGAGACAGGAGCAAACCTTGAGCACACACACACACACACACACACACACACACACACACACACCTCCAAAAATAAAACCATGAAACGCATGGTGCAGCCAGTTAAGCCAACTGTGCTCTCTGTCTGTGGGAACAGTGTGCATGGCTGATCACAGCAGCTTCCGTGGAGTGGAGCAGCCTGTGGTCTGGGTGGGTTATTATTGGGGACCTTAGAGACAGTACTTGTGTGCACATTCCTATCTGCCCTCATGCTGCCCCAATCTTAGACTCTACCCAGAGATATGGGATACTTCTGGAAAGCCCCAGGGCACTCCAGGGTCCACAAAGGCCAAGTCACCACATCCATCCACACTAAATGCAGAACTAGGAACAAAGGCTGCACCGGGCCAACTTCAGGTTCCCCAGCTGCAGGAGAGACACATCTCCAAGAGGTGGGGCTTTGCCAAGTTTAATGTGGAAAAGTGGCTTATCCTAGATATGTAGGATCACATACAACCCAAATTGTGGGTCTCTGCACACAAGGCAGGCACTGCACACCTGCACACCTTTGCTCGAACTACTGACATGAGAGAGAGAGAGAGAGAGAGAGAGAGAGAGAAAGAGAGAGAGAGAGAGAGAGAATGTGTGCTTCAGAGCTGGCCTCATTCCCTTCTCCCCACACCACCACAACTCAGCCTGCTTATTAACCAAAATAAATTAATTAAATTTAAAACTAAATTAGGGGCTGGAGTGATAGTATTGTGGGTAGGGCATTTGCCTGGCCCATGGTCAACCCAGGTTTGAAACTCAGCACCCAAGGACACCAGGAATGATCCTAAACACAGAGCCAAGAGTAAACCTAAGTATGGCCGAGTGTAGACCAAAATCCGAAAAAAAATACTAAATTAAAACAAAAATAAACATAGATTAAAAAGCAAAAGAGTGATAAGATATATCATGCAAACTCTAATTTTAAGAAATTTAAATTGCTATATTACTGTCAAAGTATCACTGTCACTGTCACTGTCCTCCCACTGTTCATCAATTTGCTCAAGCGAGCCCAGTAACGTCTCCATTGTGAGACTTGTTCCTATGTTTGGCATATTGAATATGGCATGGGTAGCTCAAAGTATACTGCAGAAAAAAAATATTACCAGAGGGGCATTAAATAAACAAAATATTAAAGAGGGACATTATGTACTATTAAAGGAATCAATTAATCAGGAAGACACAATCCTAACTGTGTGTGGACTCAGAGTTCTAAAATACCTAAAGCAAAAACTGACAGAACTAAAAGATGAAGTAGATATACCTGTTGTGGGAGTTTTGCATACTCCTTTTTTAAGCAAAGTAGACTCAAAAAATGAAAGTAATAAGACTGGAATAATACTACTGACGGCTAGAGCAATAGCACAGCGGGTAGAGCATTTGCCTTGCACGCAGTCGACCTGGGATCAATTCCTTCGTCCCTCTCGGAGAGCCCGGCAAGCTACCGAGAATATCCCGCCCACATGGCAAAGCCTGGCAAACTCCCCATGGCATATTCGATATGCCAAAAACAGTAACAACAAGTCTCACAACGGAGACATTACTGGTGCCCGCTCGAGCAAATCTATGAACAACGGGAGAACAGTGCTACAGTACTACAGTGCAATACTACTGACAAATATGTCCTAATTGACAAGCATGGGATAGTTGGAAATCTCACCACTTTTCTCTCAACAACTAATAGAACATTTAGACAAAAAGAAATGTGTGTGAGTACCACAATGAACAAGATCAATCACCAGGTGTAAACTAAAGGGCAAGTCCTCAGCAAGCACCTGCGTAAGTTCCCCCAGCCAAGCAGCAGGGTGGATTAGAAACCAGCTGAAGTCTGCGTGTCTTTGCCCAGCTACTTGACATGAGAGAGAGAGAGACAGACACAGACACAGACACAGAGACACAGACACAGAGACACAGAGACACAGAGACAGACGATGATGATGATGATGATGATGATGATGAAAAGGAGGAGGAGGAGGAGGAGGAGCAGAAAGGGCATCACTACAGATCATATAGACTGTCTGTCAAACAAACACTGTCCTCCTGTTGTTCACCTATTTGATTTGCTCGAGAGGGCCCAGTAATGTCTCCATTTTGAAACTTGTTGTTACTGTGTTTGGCGTACTGAATACGTCATGGGTAGCTTGCCAGGCTTTGCCGCGCGGGCAAGTTAGTCTTGGTAGCTTACCGGGCTCTCCGAGAGGGGTGGAGGAATCAAACCCAGCTCGGCCGGACTGGCTGTGCACAAGGCAAACGCCCTACCACTCTGCTATATAGACTCTACCAATTATAACAACCCAGACAGATGGTATCAATCCATCATCCCAAGAAATATTTACCCCCTCTTCCAACCCTGTCATGGAGCAGGCAGACCAGGACGCACAAACCACACACCTTCAAAGATATTCCACAATACATATAATCCAGTGATACATATTTTTAGTAACTAGCTTTTACTAATGGGCAAATCATGGGCAGGGGAGATAGTCCAGCAGGCAGGGTGCTTGCCTTGCATGTGATCAGCGGGGGTTCGATCCCTAGCACTCTGTATGGTCCCCCAAGCACTGACAGGAGTGATCCCTGAGCACAAAGCCAGGAATAACTTCTGAGCAACACAAAGTGTGACCAAAAAAAAAACAAATTAATTCATTAATTAACAAGCAGAGCAAAGATGCCTGCCCTCCTAGAACTTCTATCAGGGAGACTGAAATAAACAACATATAGAATACATTTATAGTTTATCTTACATAGTGTAAGTTGGCAGAAACTGTAAAAAAAGGGAAACCAGGGAAGGAAAATTGGAGTGCTGTTAAGTTCAAATGATCTGAAGTCCAGTAAGGTCTGAGTGGAGAATTATAAGAGTCAAATAGAAATTCAATTCCTCGGAAACCCCACTTTTCAGAATATACCCCCAAGCGCCCAAAAACAAAATGGAGGAAAGACACTGACAGACAACCCTATGTTCCCTGCAGCACTATCCACAACAACCAAAATCTGGAAACAGCCGGAGTGTCCAAGAATAGATGATTAGATAAAGAGACTGTGGCACATATATACAAGGAATATTACTCGGCCATAAAAAATATAAAGTAAAGCAGTTTGCTGCTGCACAGAGGGACCTGGAGAGTACCATGCTCACTGAAGTTAGTCAGAATGATCTTTCTCATATGCAGGGTCTAAGGAAACATACTGGGGGAATAATGAATGCCTAAAGACAGTGGAACAAAGAACATGAGAACAGATATTCAGCAGGAAACACGCCACCTGAAGGGACTGGGGTTGAGACAGGGAGGGCATAATATGGCGGAGGGAAGATCAAACAGAAAGAGAAGGTGGTCCTGAAAGATGGTCAAGGGTTTGTATGAAACCCTCTCGACAGCAGTGCAGTGAACCACAATGCAGAAACTTAAATATCTTAAAAAGTGCCCCTCAGAGAGAACAGACTCGTGGGTGGGAGGCAAATAAGAAGTTGGTGGAGGGAAGTGGTACTGGTGAAGGGATCAGTGTTGAAACAACACGTGTTTTGCCATGAATATCTCTGTACTTTCACCGTGACTAGTAAACATGGAAGACAAAGAAAGAACTATCTGAGTCAAGACCTGAGAGAGCCAGGGAGAGAAGCCCGCAGGCAGAGTAGAAGTCCCTGTGCAGAGCCCAGGACAGAGCTGTCCTGGCCAGGATGACAGCCAGGGCTAGAGAAGTCAGAGTGGAGTGAATACAAGAGAAAAGAGCTGGAAATTAAGATCGGAGCCTTCTCAGCTACAACAGAGAATGAGGCAGAAAAACCAGCAGGAATGCTGCCAACCCTGGCATGAAAAATAAAAGGGAGAAGTCAACAGAAAGATTAATAACCGAGCCAAGGGAGTCCCCCAAAGACTGACACCAAGAGGCGGACAGCAAGTCTTGCCCTCCCTGCACAGGGCAGACATCCTAGGGGCTGGGGACACCTACCCGCCCGTTCTCCACCTCTCGACATGCCATCAGGATGACCTGGACAAGAGAGGTAAGGAAAGAGGGCAGGGGTTTGGGTTAGGGGGGGGGGCAACAGGGCTGCACAGGGCCCATAAAGCTGTCCCACCTACCCCTCCCACAGCTGACCTTGACCCCATACTCCCAGATCAGGCGCCAGAAGTCCAGCAAGGTGTGAGGTAGTGGGCCCTGTGTGGCGATGTAGGTCTGACTCCCATCTGTGCCCTGTGAAAGCCGACCTTACTGCCATGGCCTCCCACAACCCCACCAAACCCCCCTCTTTGGGCTGCCCCCTGACCCGGATGAAGTTGCCATTGATGTAGTCACCAAGTCCCTCCTCCTGGAGCAGGGAAAGGATCACGCGTGTCTGATCATCTGCCAGCGGGAGAAGGAAGGAACAGGGATTGGGGGGTGATGGTCACCAGGATGCCGGCCAGCAGGAAGAAGGCTTCTCAGCCAGGTGTTCAGTCGTGCACTCAGGGGGCAGGGGGCGGGGCTGGGGCGGGATGTGGTCACTAAGACTCTGGGAGGGCAAGGGCTGGAATACAGTGGTGACACTGACCCACAGCAATGCCTCACGGTCACACGCGGGTGGGGAGTCGTGCAGAACTTACACGGGAGCACGTCTTTGTAGCGGTTCTTGTTCACATTCTCGGGCCTGCTGCCTGCTTCGGTGGAGCATGCAAGGTCTGTCTTCCAGGAGGCCGAGTGGGCCCGGATGTCCTGGGGGCGGTGGGAGAGAAAAGAGAGGCCCAGGTCAGTGCTGAGACACAGAGGCAGTGCACAAGGCACCTGTGTGGGGCTGAGCAGACTCCTGAGGCAGCACGATACCTCATGAGGTCCATGGGTGCAGTGACGACCATGACTCAAAGCACTTCCTCCATGTCAGCTCTGAGTTTGGGGACCATCAGGGACCAGGTCCCCGCACAGCGGACACCAACACTGACTCACTCGCTGTGTAAGAGAAAGCTGAGGCAGCCCCAGCATTCACCTCAGGTACACGCAGCCATTCTGCATTATGTTGTGATGCCCGTATTTTACACAACATGACTATGTAACGCTTTCATGTATTATACAATATATGTGATACACCATATAATATTACTAATGAAACAAGACTCTAGGCACTTCACTGCTGTTCATTTTCATGAGTCACTGGTGTCCACTGTCACCTGGGGTGCTCACCCACCACGCTACTCGCCATAGGGCGCATCGTGACTCTAAGCTCTCTCCTGAGCTCACCCATCACTAGCTCCAGAATAGAGGTATCACTGCTGATGCCACTATACTGATATGGAAACTGAGGATCAGAGAAGTCCAGCAACTACTGTGGCCTCTAGTCATGTCACAGGCACCCCCAGCTGGCACAAAGGGGCTGGCTCACAACCTACTCGCTGTCCAGGGCTGGATAGAGCCTGAACTGAGAGGGTCACATGCCACATGTATCTTTACCTTGATCATGAGAATTTCCATATCGTATACATCACATACCTTTCATTAATTACACATTTCCTACTATGCTAAGATGTCTGTCTTTGTATGTGTGAGCTATTTAACTTTACACTTTTCTGTTTGCTTGTTTTGTTACTCTTTTTCTTACTCCTGGCTCTGTGCTCAGGAATCACTCCTGGGGAGCCATCAGGGGCACAGAGCATCACCTGGGCTGACCATGTGCAAGGCAATTGCACTGCCAGCTGTACTATTTCTCTGGTCCCTGCTTTATCCATTTTATCTATTACCTTATTACATCTTATTATCTCATTCCTACTTTGGACAAACTGGCAGGCTACCAAATGTAACCTGTCCACACAGCAGAGTCTGGCAAAGTCCCCGTGGAGTACCCAATATGCCAAATACCAGTGACAATGATGGCTCTCATTCTCCTAACCCTGAAAGAGCCTTGAATATGGCACTTTTAAAAAAATCTCAGGGCTAGGATGAAGAAGACGTCACTGGGGCCTGCTCGAGGCAATCGACGAACAACAGGATGGTCGTGATCGTGATTATATTTACTTTGAAATGTACTGGCTTATGCTTATTGAGCTTATTTTATAAGTTTACTTATAGTATATAAGTACTATATATAGTACTTATATACTTATATAAGTACTTATACTTAGTACTTATATAAGTACTTGCTTTCCCTAACTTTATAAAGTTACATGCTTATTGTATAAACTATAATCTATATATGTTCAGATATTTTTATTATGTAATGTGGTTATAATAAAATTATAACATAGGTGCAGTGTGATGTTGATGCTTATGGTATTGATAGGTATTTACAGGTCCTGCGCCCCAGCACCCTCAGATGCCCAAGACTCTTCATCACTATTCACAAAATCTTAAACATTTTTATTTCTATGTATTCAGCATGGACTGGAGCGATAGCACAGCAGGTAGGGTGTTTACCTTGAGCGCCGCCAGCCTGGCCGAGCTGGGTTCGATTCCTCTGCCCCTCTCGGAGAGCCCAGCAAGCTACCGAGAGTATCTTGCCCACACAGCAAAGCCTGGCAAGCTACCCGGGACGTATTCAATATGCCAAACACAGTAACAACAAGTCTCACGATGGAGACATTACTGGGCCCGCTCGAGCAAATCGATGAATAACGGGAGGACCGTGACTACATTCAGCATTTATTTTATATTTATTAAATAAAATATCAAATTTGGCTATTTTATTACTTTTAATGATTAAAATTTACATATATTCATCAAACTAATTTATATCATATCTAAATTTCTAAATTTGCCGTCACTGTGTACTTTGCTTTTCTATCTGCATAGCATTTTTCTATCGTTTTTCAATTAGCTATATTTAAAACATCTCACCACGTGTAACATGAGGTGCCTAGAGCTAGGAATTAACGATCCTGACACGTGGGTTGCACAAGCCCACAGTAACGTCCGAAATCTTTGAACCTGGGCGGCAGCGCCAGGACAGAGGGCAGGGCCCTCGCCTTGCACGCGGTCAGCCAGAGTCCAATCCCGGGCAAGGGACAGGGTCTCCGGCCTGCCAGGAGTGACCCCCGAGCATAGAGCCGGAATCGGCACCGAGCACCAGCGCTAAGACCCTTGCAAAGGGAGCACAGAGCCGGAATCAGCACGGAGCACCAGCTAAGGCCCTTGCAAAGGGTGCACAGAGCGGGAAATAGCACCGAGCACCAGCGCTAAGGCCCTCGCAAAGGGAGGACAGAGCGGGAATCAGCACTGAGCACCAGCGCTAAGGCCCCTTGCGAAGGGAGCGCTCGAGGCTGGCTGCAGCTTCCCCCGGGCCGGGGACCCGGGACAGCGCCCGGGAGGGCCGGGACCGACCCTCGCTGCAACCGGCTCTGGGCTCGGCGCCTGCGGACATGAAGCAGGTCCACTGTCAGGGGCGGACAGCTGCGTGCGGGGAGTGCGGGAACAGAGGGGCCGGACAGAGGGGCCGGGCAGAGGGACGGACAGAAGGACGGACAGAGGGACGGACAGCGGGCCGGACAGAGGGGCCGGCGCGGGGCAGGGGCGCGCAGCAGGGGCGGGCAGCAAGGAGGGGAGGCGAGCAGAGCCCCCAACCCCGCCGCCCTCGCGCACTCACGCTGAACTCGCTCGCGAGGACCGTCCCCTCCCGGCCGCCGCGGGCCGCCAGCGAGTCCAGGAAGCTCCGCGCCGCGTCCAGGCTGCGGCTCATGGCGCCGCCCGCGAAGTCCGCCGCGGCCCCGGCCGGTCTGGACGCGTCCGAGCCCCGCGGACAGCGCCCGCCGCCCGGCCCCGCCCCCTGCCCGCTCGGCCAATAGCGGCGCAGAGCGGCAGAGCTGTCGACCAATCAGGCGCGGGGAGCCGCCTGGCCCCACCCCCGGCTCGCGGGAGGCCGGCCGGCCGGGCTGGGGTGCGCGCCGGGGCGCCCGGGCAGCGACCAACGCCCGCCTGCAGCTTCCCTTTTTCGGCCGCCGAGTCTCGGCATCCCGAACCAGCTTCCGCCTGGACCTGGGTCTGCGCCAGCCCCGACTGCAAGTACTGGCGCACCCTGCCCCCGGGCCGGTTCTCCAGGGCCAAGCTGCGCGCGCGGCGGCGAGCCTGCTCGGGCCCGGGTGCAGATAGCTGCGGGCCCGTCTCCAGGCCCCCGGCCCGGCGCCCCGCACTGACCACACCGTAGAAGCCGGGGCGGGACCGAACCGGTCCGGGAGGGGCTGCCGGGGAGGGAACTCGGCACCGCTGCGCTTCCCGACCTGTGCTTTCCCCGGGTTCTGCCTTGGGCTTAGTCGGGCAGTGGAGACGGGGTGGAGGGACGCGTCTGCGGGCGTTAGGGCCAGTCCCGATCTGAGAGTTTCGATCCGTAAGAGCCCAGAGGAACCAAACCGGGGCTCTGAAAGTGCCTCTTCCTAGGGAAAAGGCATTTCCAGCTCGGCCGCGCCAGGAGGGAGCTGGAAACGCGCTTCGGCCCGACCCCCTCGCGGGCTGCGGGGGCAGGGGGTGCGGGGCAGCCCACCCCTCAAGGGCGCCACGAGAGAGGCCGTGGAGGTGTGAAGGGTTAAAAGAGCCACTGGCCCAGGTTGTGGATTTAGTTCATCAAGAGGTTCTCAGGATGCTAAGTCAGAGACTGGCAAAACTTCTTTTTTTTTTTTTTTTACTTAATGTAATTTAGGTTTTTAGGCCAGACCCGCCAGTGCTCGGGATTTACTCCTAGCTCTGTGCTTGGGCATCATTCCTGGAGGTGATCAGGGTCAAACCCGGGTCTAGCGCTGCACTCTCTCCCCGCCCCAGACAACCCTGTCCTTTAAATGACTTTGGCCCCTACCCTGCACTCCACTTCTTCCTCCTTTGAACACAGCCACACAGTATGCAAAGGAATGAGCCCAGTCAATAAAAATTTATGGACACTGAAATTTGAATCTGATGTAATTTTCACGTGTCAGGATATTGTTTCAACGATCTATATCCCGGTGGCCTGCAAGCTGTGGTTTGCTGACCAGGGTTTAAATGGCTGGAATTGCAGTAGGTGAATGGGATGGAACAGCTGGAGAGGTTTTCTTTTGGAAGTCACTGTGGTCTCTGAGTTTGACTGGAAATAATGCGGGAAGGAAGGGGCTGGAGCCATCGTGCAGCGGGGAGGGCACTTGCTTTGCATGCAGCTGTCTTGGGTTCAATTCCCAGCATCCCACAGGTTCCCTAGAGCACTGCCAGGAGTAATTCCTGAGCTCAGAGCTGGGTGTGGCCCCCCAAAAAATAATTCAAAAAATAAAAAAATAAAAAGTGAGTGAAGGAAATGAGTTCAAAGATAATGGGCTCTCAAAAAAAGAAAATCTCTGGGGCTGGAGCAATAGCACAGCGGGGAGGGCGTTTGCCTTGCACGCAGCAGATGTGGGTCTGATTCCCAGCATCCCATATGGTCCCCTGAGCACCACCAGGAGTAATTCCTGAGTGCATGAGCCAGGAGTAACCCCTGTGCATTGCCGGGTGTGACCCAAAAAGAAAAAAATTAATAATGGGCCCAGTTAAAGGGACCCAGGAAGGCAAGACACAGAGAATGAGGACTCTTGAGAAAATATGAAAATTCACTTGAATAATCCTGGAGACTCAAGTTCAGAATTTGGGGATACAGAGTGCAATCTGGGACTAGTGGATGGAGAAGAGGCCCTGATTGGACAAGGATTTGTGGAACGTGGTGGCAGTGGGTACCATCGGAAGTCACTGGACATCTGTGTCACTTAGCACCCAACCATATCTAGTGTGACCAGAAGCAGAGGCTACTCTGGCCAGCTGGAGTTTGTGTGACTTGGAACTGGGGGTTCATTTGTCTGGCCAGGTATCTGTGTTCACCTGGCTTGAGGGTCTTTCCAGCTGCGCGGGAGAGGTGGGACAGAGAGCCAGGCCCTGTATCCTGCTCAGGGTCTGTCTGGCTAGGGTTCATCTGTTGAGCTGAGTCTAAGCAGGTAGGACATTCCTCTGTTGGTTTAACCTTCTCCCACTTGGGGTGGTGACTGCCCTGGAAGGATTCTCTCTTGGCTTGCTGTCCCAACTGACAAAGATGGGGTTTGTGGGGGTCTTTCTGGATGTCTGGCTTATTATCTTCCCTCTGTCCGTTTGCTGCACTGGACTCTGTTTCCCAGGGTCTCTATCAGTCTAGAAGCTTAACTAACCAGGAGTCTGTGTCTTCCAAGGTCTTCCAGGTTCTCAGGGTCTACAAACCTAAGTGCTGATGCTGTGACCATCAGTCATGCTTCTACTCAGTTTAGGGGTGTCCTTCTAGCTGCATACTCAGCCCCACTCTGTGCTTCTGCTCTTGGTAACAAACTTCCTACCATGATCATTTTTCCCAAACATCCAGACTTTCCCAGACCCCAAGCCTCAGGGCTAGAAAGAAAAAACAGAAGGGAGAGTGTTTCCTTGCATGCAGCTGCTCTGGGTTTAATCTTCAGCACCCTATATGGTCCCTGAACACTGCCAGGAGTGATCCCTGAGCACAGAGCCAGAAATAACCCCTGAGCATCACCAGGTGGACACTGCCCCCCCCCCCAAAAAAATAAAACAAAAAATAGATCTTCAGCAAAATTCCCCTTCCCCAAAGGGATACTGCCATTAATATTATATCCAATGGGCACCATAATGATCAGAGCTTATTATACTTAATTAAGATTTTATACACACCAGTTCCCCCACTGTCCCTGTCCTCCCATTGTTCATCGATTTGCTCGAGCGGGCACCAGTAACGTCTCACAACAAATTGTGAGACTTGTTGTTACTGTGTTTGGCATATCGAATATGTCACGGGTAGCTTGTCAGGCTTTGCCAGGGTTGGGGGGTGAGATACTCTCGGTAGCTTGTTGGGTTCTCCAAGAGGGGCAGAGGAATCGAACCTTGGTTGGCTGCGTGCAAGGCAAATGCCCTACCCACTGTGCTATCGCTCCAGCCCAGTTCCCCTAGTAAATGAAAATTTAACAAGAAATTAGACATGTCATATGTTCAAAATACTCATGGTAATCATTTGGCATTCCTTCAAATAGAATTGTTTTATACTGTAAGTTGGAGGCGAGTGTAACTTATTTTTGTAATTACGTTTTTATTTTTTTATGTGTCATTTAATATAAATGTATGTTAGTGTAGAAATATCCTGGTTTAAAACTTAGAATTGCACACATTTCAGTATGTTTATTCGTACTAACATAATTTTAGAGTAGTGGTTGCCAATAGCCTGTATGTTTCACATTAATTGATTTTTTTTTTATTTCAGTAAACCATTTTAGTATGTTGTATGTCAGTTACTGAGCTAGCTGGGACATAGAGTGTAATTTAAAATTTGTCAATAAGTATTCATTGGAATATATGTAAATGTGCCTTGCCGGTTATTGAAACTTATCTACAAAATGAGTATGTGGTGACAAAAAAAATATATATATATGTATATATAAATAACTTGTGCAAGTTATATTCTCGCAGTGGCTCCCTACGGCTGGTGGCCTTTTGTTCACGCACTTGTGGAGGCTTCTGCTTTCTGCCACCACCCCTGCCCAGCACCCAGTACCCACACGCAATCTTCCCCCTGCTTAACTCCAAGAACCTGCAGCAGAGCTGAAGAGTCTGAGCGCTGAGGCTGAGTTTGCAAGGCTTGTGAGGAGTCCAGATGCACACTAACGGTGCAAAGGGGAACATCGGAACCCTGCAGGGGAGAAGCCTCAACCTCGCTGATACCACTTTAACCACGGAAACTTGTGAGGAGATACTACTGACAGCCCCCTTCTACCACTCTCTGGCTTCCTTTCTTGCTAGGCTTGAAAAAGAAAGAAAAGTCAAAGAAATGCGACAGAATTCTCATACTGCTCCACTGTGTTAAGACTGTGAGAGCCGGCTGGACTGACCCCGGGCCCACCCACAAGTCTGGAACTTGGCAAATAGAGAATTGCCCACCAACTCTCGCAGGTACCAGCAGAGCATGTGCTATCTGCCCCCAGAGCCAACTGCCCTTGGGAAGATCCTTGCTACAATCTCCTCTAACTCCCCTCCAGGTTTTGTTCTGCACCAAGAAGGGCTTCCAGTTTCTAGAAAAATGCTCAGCAGCTTTTATAGAAAATAGAGCTGACCAGGCTCTCACGGCGTCAGGGATGGGCAACCTCCCCCCATCTCTCTGTTCTCCCAAGAGCCTGGCAGTCATGCCCACGAACTGCCTCTGGCACCACACAAGCTCATTAACAGGCCATAATCCAGAGACTCACAAATAAATCTCAGAAGAGATCAACAAGCTGCAGAGATGCCTCAGACCCCAAAGTCACCATCCAGTTAAAAAGTTAACTCCAGCAGTATTACATTTAAATTTTTAGAATTCCTGGAGTGACATCTCATACTCTATACCACTGATTACCAGGAATAGCACACATTAAATAGGAAGTAAAATAGAAAGCAACCAATCTCAATAAAAAAAAATATTAGCACACAAGGCTCAACCTGTAACAACATGTTAGTAACCTCTTAACCAAGGGCTCAATGGCTCCAGGGTGAAATACAACAATCTTCACACACTTTCTTCTAAGGAAATCTTTTTTGTTCATTTCTAGGGAATTATTCATAACAAGCAATACAAAATAAATTATTTAGAGCCTGCTATTGCCGCAGGCTTGGGTGATGGTTGAGAAAATTCTAAGTAATAGAAAGGTGGAAAGATGTAATGGTAGGGGTATTTGTGTTGGAATAGTGAATGTAATAAATTATTGTGAACAACCTTATGAGAATAAAATAAAATTTAAAAAATTTTTAATGAAA